TGTGTGCGCGCGGGTGTGTGTTGGCAGTAAAAAGAGTTAACTTACCTTCTCTTTCCATCATTCCAGAGATAATAATACAAGGCGCACTTACAGCTCAGGTAAAAAGAAAAAAAAACTTGGCCTATTGGTAAGGGCCTATATAAGAGCAAGTAAAAATGATTTTAAAAATGACATTTAAAAGGTAAAAATTAGTGAGTGTCTTTCCGGAAGGCGTAGCCTAGTTAACAATTTTGAACCTAAATAATAGATCAGAAAGCAAATGTCGATGACGCAATTAAAAAAACACGGAGGTTGTGATTGGGGAGGGGGGGAGGGGGGTGCATAGCTCTCTATGGCCTATTATAATATTATCCACTTTATCTAAAAGATAAACGTGTACGGCTGTATTTTAAAGTAATAACACTTGTGATAATATACAAAACTAAATAAACAAAAGCGTCCAAAGCCCATCAGCAATCTAATCACAGCACTTCATATCTTGTAACACTAACATAGCAACTACTACACAGTTTCCGTAACAATCATTCTCATTTTTCAGAAATTAATAGCCTAATTGTAATAGTTATGTTTCACTTTATAAAAATAGCCAAGAAAGAAAATGTTTTAAGGGAAAGAACTGAGGTTTTGTTTCCGCTCATGCTGTGATTTCTCGTTAAAAATTTCCAGAGTTATGTACCTTCTACACGGACATGTATCGTTCTAGTAGTGAGTACTTTTGAATGAACATCGATACCAAATATATCATGTATTAATGAATTAATGAAAGGACAATTTTTGACGTGTAAATAATAAGAAAAATATTGTTAAAATGCCTTGTTTGAAATGCAGACACTTTCGTTACACGAAAAAATGAAATTGCCGCAACTTTTAACAAAACACCAATGTTAGTATCATGTTCGTCTATATGCTTGACCTTATCAGTTGCTGGAGTTAGATCTAAATTTGTCATTATATCGCATTATACAGAGAAGGCTCACGCGAATCCAGAGTCTGAGATTGCCACATATTTTCTAGATCTTTATCTAAAAATGAAGCATCTCAAACACACACACACACACACACACACACACACACACACACACACACACACACA